ATACTCCTTGAGAAGAGCAACCCAAGACACATAATTGTCAGATTCACCAAGGTTGAAATGAAGGAAAAAATGTTAAGGGCAGCCAGAGAGAAAGGTCGGGTTATCCAAAAAGGGAAGCCCATCAGACTAACAGTGGATCTCTTGACAGAAACCCTACAAGCCAGAAGAGAGTGGGGACCAATATTCAACATTCTTAAAGAATTTTTAACCCAGAATTTCATATCCAGCCCAACTTAGCTTCGTAAGTGAATGAGAAATAAAATCCTTTACAGACAAACAAATGCCGAGAGATTTTGTCACCACCAGGCCCGCCTTACAAGAGCTCCTGAAGGAAGCACTAAACATGGAAAGGAACAACCAGTACCAGCCACTGCAAAAACATAGCAAATTGTAAAGACCATTGATGCTATGAAGAAACTGCAACAGGCAAAATAATCAGCTAGCATCATAATGACAGGATCAAATTCACATATAACAATATTAACCTTAAATGTAAACAGGCTAAATGTCCCAATTAAAAGACACAGACTGGCAAATTGGATAAAGAGTCAAGATCCATTGGTGTGCTGTATTCAGGAGACCCATCTCACGTGCAAAGACACACACAGGCTCAAAATAAAGGGATGGAAGAATACCAATCAAATGGAAAGCAAAAAAATAAAAAAGCAGGGACTGCAATCCTATCCTCTGATAAAACAGACTTTAAACCAATACAGGTCAAAAGAGACAAAGAAGGGCATTACATAATGGTAAAGGGATCAATGCAACAAGAAGAGCTAACTGTCCTAAATATATATGCACCAATACAGGAGCACCCAGATTCATAAAGCAAGTTCTCAGAGACCTACAAAGAGACTTAGACTCCCACACAATAATAGTTGGAGACTTTAACACCCCACTGTCAATATTAGAAAGATCAATGAGACAGAAACTTAACAAGGATATCTACCAGGACTTGAACTTAGCTCTGGACCAAGTGGACCTAATAGACATCTACAGAACTCTCCACCCCAAATCAACAGAATATACATTCTTCTCAGCACCACATCGCATTTATTCCAAAACTGACCACATAATTGGAAGTAAAACACTCCTCAGCAGATGCAAAAGAACAGAAATCATAACAAACAGTCTCTCAGACCACAGTGAAATCAAATTAGAACCCAAGATTAAGAAACTCACTCAAAACTGCACAACTATATGGAAACTGAACAACCTGCTCCTGAATGACTACTGGGTACATAACGAAATGAAGGCAGAAATAAAGATGTTCTTTGAAACCAATGAGAACAAAGACACAACATACCAGAATCTCTGGGACATATTTAAAGCAGTGTATAGAGGAAAATTTATAGCACTAAAAGTCCACAAGAGAAAACAGGAAGATCTAAATTCAACACCCTAACATCACAATTAAAATAACTAGAGAAGCAAGAGCAAACAAATTCAAAAGCTAGCGGAAGACAAGAAATAACTAAGATCAGAGCAGAACTGAAAGTGATAGAGACACAAAAAACCCTTCAAAAGATCAATGAATCCAGGACCTGGCTTTTTGAAAAGATCAACAAAATAGACCACTAGCGAGACTAATGAAGAAAAATTAGAAGAATCAAGTAGACACAATAAAAAATGGATAAAGGGGATATCACCACCGATCCTACAGAAATACAGACTACCATCAGAAAATACTATAAACACCTCTATGCATATAAACTAGAAAATCCAGAAGAAATGGATAAATTCCTGGACACATACACCCTCCCAAATCTAAACCAGGAAAAAGTCGAATCCCAGAATAGACCAATAACAAGTTCTGAAATTAAGGCAGCAATGAATAACCTACCAACTAAAAAAAGCCCAGGACCAGACGGATTCATAGCCGAATTCTACCAGAGGTACAAAGAGGAGCTGGTACCACTCCTTCTGAAACTATTCCAAACAATAGAAAAAGAGGGAATCCCCCCCTAACTCATTTTATAAGGCCAGCATCATCCTGATACCAAAACCTAGCAGAGATACAATGAAAAAAGAAAATTTCAGGCCAACATCCCTGATGAAAATCAATGGGAAAATCCTCAATAAAATACTGGCAAGCCAAATCCAGCAGCACATCAAAAAGCTTATCCACCATGATCGAGTTGGCTTCACCTCTGGGATGCAAGGCTGATTCAACAAACATAAATCAATAAACATAATTCATCACATAAACAGAACCACAGACAAAAAACACATGATTATCTTAATAGATGAAGAAAAGGCCTTCAACAAAATTCAACAGCCCTTCATGCTAAAAACTCTCAATAAACTAGGTATTGATGGAATGTATCTCAAAATAATAAGAGCTATTTATGACAAACCCACAGCCAATATCATACTGAATGGGCAAAAGCTGGAAGCATTCCCTTTGAAAACCGACACAAGACAAGGATGCCCTCTCTCACCACTCCTATTCAACATAGTGTTGGAAGTTCTGGCCAGGGCAGTCAGGCAAGAGAAATAAATAAATAAAGCATATTCAGTTAGGAAAAGAGGAAGTTAAATTGTCTCTGTTTGCAGATGACATGACTGTATATTTAGAAAACCCCATTGTCTCAGCCCAAAATCTTCTTAAGCTGATGAGCAATTTCAGCAAAGTCTCAAGATAAAAAATCAATGTGCAAAAATCACAAACATTCTTATAAACCAGTAACAGACAAACAGAGAGTCAAATCGTGAGTGAACTCCCATTCACAATTGCTACAAAGGGAACAAAATACCTAGGAATACAACTTACAAGGGATGTGAAGGACCTCTTCAAGGAGAACTACAAACCACTGCTCAAGGAAGTAAGAGAGGACACAAATGAACAAACATTCCATGCTCATGGATAGGAAGAATCAATATTGTGAAAATGGCCATACTGCCCAAGGTAATTTATAGATTCAATGCTATCCCCATCAAGCTACCACTGACTTTCTTTACAGAATTGGAGAAAACTACTTTAAATTTCATATGGAACGAAAAAAGAGCCCACATAGCCAAGACAATCCTAAGCAAAAAGAACAAAGCTGGAGGCATCACGCTACCTAACTTCAAACTATACTACAAGGCTACAGTAACAAAAAACAGCATGGTACTGGTACCAAAACAGACATATAGACCAATGGAACAGAACAGAGCCCTCAGAAATAACACTACACATCTACAACCATCTGATCTTTGACAAACCTGACAAAAACAAGCAACCGGGAAAGGATTCCCTATTTAATAAATGGTGTTGGGAAAACTGGCTAGCCATATGTAGAAAGCTGAAACTGGATCCCTTCCTTACACTTTATACAAAAATTAACTGAAGATGGATTAAAAACTTAAATGTAAGACCTAAAACCATAAAAACACTAGAAGAAAACCTAGGCAATACCATTCAGGACACTGGCATGGGCAAAGACTTCATGTCTAAGACACCAAAGGCAATGGCAACAAAAGCCAAAATTGACAAATGGGATCTAGTTAAAGAGCTTCAGCACAGCAAAAGAAACTATCATCAGAGTGAACAGGCAAGCTACAGAATGGGAGGAAATTTTTGCAATCTATCCATCTGACAAAGGGCTAATATCCAGAATCTACAAGGAACTTAAACAAATTTATAAGAAAAAAACAAACAACCTCATCAAAAAGTGGGCAAAGGATGTAAACAGACACTTCTCAAAAGAAGACATTTATGCAGCCAACAAACATGAGAAAAAGCTCATCATCACTGGTCATTAGAGAAATGCAAATCAAAACCACAATGAGATACCATCTCACACCAGTTAGAATGGCAATCATTAAAAAGTAAGGAAACAACAGATGCTGGAGAGGATGTGGAGAAATCAGAATGCTTTTACACTGTTAGTGGGAGTATAAATTAGTTCAACCATTGGGAAGACAGTGTGGCAATTCCTCAAGGGCCTAGAAACAGAAATATCATTTAACCCAGCAATCCCATTACTGGGTATATGCCCAAAGGATTATAAATCATTCTACTATAAAGACACATGCACATGTATGTTTACTGCAGCACTGTTCACAATAGCAAAGACTTGGAATCAACCCAAATGCCCATCAATGATAGACTGGATAAAGAAAATGTGGCACATACACACCATGGAATACTATGCAGCCATAAAAAGGGATGAGTTCATCTCCTTTGCAGGGACATGGATGAATGTGGAACCCATCATTCTCAACAAATTAACACAGGAACAGAAAACCAATGTTCTCACTCATAAGTGGGAGCTGAACAATAAGATCACATGGACACAGGGAGGGGAACATCACACACTGCGGCCCATCAGGGGGTGGGGGGCTAGGGGAGGGGTAGCATTAGAATACTTAATGTAGATGATGGGTTATGGGTGCAACAAACCACTATGGCACATGTATACTCATGTAACAAACCTGTACATTCTGCACATGTACCCCGGAATTTAAAGTATAATAATAAAAAAAAAAGAGAGAGAGAGAGATTATCATGCCTCAGCCTCCCAAGTAGCTGAGATTACAGGTATGTGCCATCATGCCCAGCTAATTTTTGTATTTTTAGTAGAGATGGGGTTTCACCATGTTGACTGGACTGGTCTCGAACTCACAACCTCAGGTGATATGCCTGCCTCGGCCTCCCAGAGTGTTGGGATTACAAGTGTAAGCCACCATGCCCAGCTGGTTTATTCTAACAGGTTTCAAGAACCCATTCAGTCTGGGACGCCTGCTCTCATCTCATGAGTTTTGGTGTTTTGTAGGGTGAGAAATGAGCTGTTAATAAAATCCTTTCTCCAAGCAGAGTAGTAAATTTACTTTTTGTTGTTGTTGAGATGAGGTCTCACTTTGTTGCCCAGGCTGGTCTTGAAATCCTAGCCTCATGGGATCCTCCCCTCTCAGCCTTCCAAAGTGCTGAATTACAGGTGTGAGTCAGCAAATTTATTTTTATTTCCAACTCATCTTCATTTGGCTAGTATAGGATAACAATAGTAATCTCAATCTTTTGTTTTTTAATCATTTATTCAAAGGCCGAACTCATCCTACAAAGAATGGCAAACTAAGAAAGTGCTTGGTGTTTTCAACACCCACTCCACATCATACACTGGACTGGGCCATTTGCCCATTTAATGGTTTGTTCCAAATTACACTACAGTAAAATAGATATGATTCCCATTTTACAGTTGAAGCTCAAGAAATTAAGTTACTTGCTCCAAAGGTAGCAGGGGAGAGCGTGGATTCAGATGCAGGTCTACCATTCACCTAAGCCTGCATTCTTTCTAATACATTACGTCACCTGTCAAACACGGAGAGTTACAATTAGAAGGACTGTCTTAGTCCAGTCATTTTATTTCAAATGAAAAGATAACTCTCATTTTAATCTATTTTATTTATTTAATAAACAAATGGCCCAAAGCAGTTTTCTTTAAGTTTTTCTGCTTACTCCTTCTCTTAATATGAAGACCAAAAAGGTACTGGTACCAAATGAGAACCCTTATTATTTGACGTAGTAAGAATTAGTATAGATCCTATGTTGTAACATGTTCCACTCATGTTGACTACCCTTCTTTCTATATAATCTAACAGCCTTCATTGCACAGTTCATTTAACTTATGAACACTTTAATTCCAAAATTGCTAAATCAAGATTTTAAGACTAGAACTAAATTGTTTAATAGAGAATAGAAGAAAAAGTCATTTACTTAAAAATGCATATATTTTCATCTTACATTTCTCATAACAGGAAATATAACATGTATATACGTTTTTCCATAATACCTAACAAGAAGAAATGCTTATTTTTAAAAAATACTTCGGCTACTCACTAAAACCAGTTCTTGAAAAACTTTCCATGTTTGTTAATCCTGAAAAAAATGTTCACATTTGTTACCAGTTCTTAAGAATGAGGGAGACGTGACTTCCTGTTTCTACTGTTCACCTGCATCACGTTAGAAAGAGGGAATGGGCAGGGGTTCTAGGAAGGTGTGATGTCTCTGAATTCGGTTGAGAAGCTGCTGTGCCACAGGTTTGAATTCTGTTTCCCAGTGGAGTTTGTGATAGTTTTTTAGGTCTGGATCAAAACTGCCATCCAGTGCTAGTTCTTCATCTGTATTAGAAAAATTTAAATTACAGCATTATTTAGAAATGTAATCCTATTGAATATCATTTAATTTTGATGATATGAGTTAAACTCACCCTGGGTCACCCTTTAATACCAACGTAACACAAGATAGGATTTCAGAGAAGTTCTTTACTCTCTTCTGTTCTTTATGAATACATCATTTTATTTTATTTTATTTGGAGAGGCAGGGTCTCCATGTATTGCCCAGGCTGGTCTCCAACTCCTGACCTCAAGCAATCCTCCCACTTTGACCTCCCCACGTGCCAAAGTGCTGGGATTACAGGTGTGACCTACCTCTCCAAGCCCATTACTTTACAATTAGTATATTTTGGTATCTTAATTTAAATGGGCAATATTTTTTTCAAAAAAAATCTGGCCAGGTGTGGTGGCTCATGCCTGTAATGCCAACACATTGGGAGCCTGAGGTAGGAGAATTGCTTGAGTCCAAGAGTTCAAGATTAGCCTGAGCAACACAGTGACAGCTCAGAAAAAATAAAAAATAAAAAAAAAATCAGAAGATTATCTGGGCATGGGGGCATGTGCCTGTGGTCCTAGCTACTCAAGAGGCTGAGGTCAGGAGGATCGCTCGAGCACGGGAGATTGAGGCTGCAGTGGGGCATGACTGTGTCACTGCCCTCCAGCCTAAGCGACACAGCAAGACCCTGTCTCAAAAAATAAAAAATCTGAGATTGAACTGAACCTTTATTTCAACTAATTCCTTAGTTTTTTATATGTAAGTTTGTATCTAAAAGTTCGATCACAATTTCTCAGAATTACTTCCTTATGTGTATATAGAAAAGTTAATTACTTCAAAGGTTAGATACAAAAGGAATCAGGAAATCTTTTAGGAAAGTAGTTCAGTTAAATTTGACACTTTAAACTTTACTGAAACTCAGAACTTTGCTGGCTTCACAGCAGCAGGGAAGCAGTCCTTTGAAAACACAACCTTCCAACCCCCTACTCTCTCCAAAACTGAAAACTAGGAGGCCTTGGGAATCCTAAGGAATATTAGAATCCCAGGTGAACCCATGGATAATGCAGAAAAGAACTTGTAAGAATAAAATGCAAAAGTACAACTTCGATTTCTAATCCAAGGGCATCCTGAATTCTGGGAACACCATATATTCAATCCAAGTAGGAAGATAAATGGCCACTGAGGTTTCCGTGCTCATTGCCACAGCAATTTTATGTGTTGATGTTGAGCCTCACACCCTGTGTGACAGACTTCAGAAAAGTACACTGACCTGCCAGTCAGATTAGCTCTGCCACTTCCTACATCTGTGACACGAGGCCAACTTCTTAAATGGTAACCACTAAATCCTAAAACAACCACAGATGTTGTTACTTACATTGCCAACATTTTATTTATTTTTATTTTTATTTTTGCGGGGGGAGATGGAGTCGCGCTGTGTCACCCAGGCTGGAGTGCAGTGGTGCAATCTCGGCTCACTGTAACCTCTGAATCCCAGGTTCAAGCAATTCTTCTGCCTCAGCCTCTTGAGCAGCTAGGATTACAGGCATGTGCCACCACACCCGGCTAATTTTTGTCTTTTTAGTAGAGACAGAGTTTTACCATGTTGGCCCAGCTGGTCTCCAACTCCTGACCTCAAGTGATCTGCCTGCCTTGGCCTCCCAAAGTGCTGGGATTACAGGCTTGAGCCACTGCGCCCAGCTGCCAACACTTTTTTATAGGGCCAATTAAAATCCTATTATAAAATGCTTCATGACTCTGTTGATATCAGATTTTCTATACTGAATATTTGTGTACATTCACTGTGTCCTTTGGCACTAGGGGTGTTAGTGTCACCACCCAAAATAAGATAAGGGAGTCTGGAATCCCAGTTTGTACCTTCCTCTCATCACAACCAAGTGGTCAACTATGCAGTTCTAAGATAAACTCTTAAGCAGACACAAACACTTCGGCAAGGAGCTCCATAGAGACCCTGTAAGCAAACCTAGATCTCCCCACCCATGAGACAACTGGGCCCCGAGGGGAGAAGAATGCAGGCAGTGTTTGGTGCCTTCAAAGCTCTTCCTGTTTGGCTACTTCCGGACAAAAAGAGTCAGGTAGTCCCAGTGATTTCAGATTTCATTTCGTTTTTTGAGACAGAGTCTGCTCGGGAGTGCAATGGCGTGATCTCGGCTCATTGCAACCTCCATGTCCCAGATTCAAGTGATCCTTGTTTCTCAGCCTTCCAAGTAGCTGGGACTACAAGCATGTGCCACCAGGCGAGGCTAATTTTTTGTGTTTTTAGTAGAGATGGGGTTTTGCCATGTTGCCCAGGCTGGTCTCGAACTTCTGACCTCAGGTGATCCACCCACCTTGGCCTCCCAAAGTGCTGGGATTACAGGTGTGAGCCACTGCACCCAGCCAGTGATTTCAGATTTCTAGACCATCTTCCTACTCACTGTTTTCCAGATTTTCTGAACATTAAACTTGTTGACAAGTGAATTCTGCTGTATAAAAATAAAATTCTGTTGTATAGAAAATGAATTCTGTTATATAAAAAATAAATTATGGGCTGGGTACAGTGGCTCACGCCTATAATCCCATCACTTTGGGAGGCTGAGGCCGGTGGATCACCTGAGGTCACGAGTTCGAGATCAGCCTCGCCAACATGATGAAACCCCATCTCTACTAAAAATACAAAAAATTAGCCGGGCATGGTGCTGGGCACCTGTAGTCCCGGCTACTTGGAAGGCTGAGGCAGGAGAATCACTTGAACCCAGGAGGCGGAGGTTGCAGTGAGCCATGGTCATGCCACTGCACTCCAGCCTAGGCAACAGAGAGAGACTCTGTCTCAAAAAAATAATAATATAAAAAAAGAAGGAAAGAAAGAAAATGAATTCTGTTGTAGAAGTCCTTCTTCCCCAAGCTGCTGGTGGCTAGCAGTATGGCCTGTGCATGTCATAGTCCCTTCTTCCTCCCAGGGCTTTGGTTGGATTTAGTGGTTTTAGCAAAATCTCTGTTGGGTGTATGGCTTTTTAAAATCTAATGTCAAGACCATGTTACTTGTCTTGAGGCCCAGCCTATAGTTAATCCACCCACAAACCATATTAATTCTAAATTGGGTTAGACAAGATAACAAGAATAGCCAAACAACTACAGGTAAGAGAAATGAGGTCTAAAGTTTCAAAGTAAATACAGTGACATACATTAAAAGTGCCATATCACATGGGGTATTAAATTTTGGAACTTGTACTGCAAAGAGTAGCAGAGGCTGATTGAGTAAAAATTTAGATCTATGATTCAATGTTTTTTTTTTTAAGAGACAGAGTCTCATTCTGTCACCCAGGCTGGAATGCAGTGGTGCAATCATAGCTCACTGTAGCCTAGAATTCCTGGGCTCAAGTGATCCTCCCACCTCAGTTGAGTGGCCAAGACTACAAACACAAACATCTAGCTAATTTTTTTACTTTTAGTAGAGATGGGGTCTCACTATGTCGCACAAGCTGGTCTCAAACTCCTAGCCCCAAGTGATTCTCCCACCTCAGCCTCCCAAAGTGCTGGGATTACAGGCACGAGCCATTGCACTCAGTCTTTAATTCTTTTTAAGATTTGAATCATCATAAGTTAGAAACTGTGCGTCATAGTAAGTATTTTGCATCATGACTCTGTATACATATACCTACTTACATACAAATAAATGTTTCAAGTACAATACTTGTCCTTACTACATGTAATATATTGTGATATTTTCTTTGTTAATTCATTTTTTAAAGATGCTGGTCACAACCAACTAAATTGATTTCCTAACCTGCAGTGTGAAAAGTGCTTATTTAGATAACCAATCATTCTTAAGCTTTCTTTAGGCACAGCATGCTTCCAAATACTAAAATTTGGGGCAAAGTATTAGAAAGGATTAAAAGACCTTACAATAATCAATGATCATTACAACACAATCATTATTAGAAGTTTGTGTCCTGTAGCATCTATAAAAGCTTTCTTTACTCACTACACTATTTCCTAGCTAGCTGTTCAGCAGCAGGTGGCTATTTAAGGGATTTATCATTGCCCTGACCATTCTCTTATAAGGTAAAGTTGTCGAATGTTCTAGAAGCACCTGATAGCTCTTCAGCATAGGTTGATATGATCCTCCAACTTGAACATGGGGCCCCACTCTACCCTTGTCACAAAACCTAAGTGCCCACTGCCACATAACTTATGATGAACATGCAACAGCCTAGTGTACTTCCCATTTGCAACAATAAACTGCACACATGGTCATCAGGTGCCAGCTCCCCGCAGAGGGGCTCATGGTAGACTGGAGTGCTCAGTACACCACTAAGAACTTCAGCATCAACACACTGCTTATGAGCTCATAAGACATAACTGGAATATAGTGGACAGTTTCAGACCACGTTCTTTTAAAGCCACTTTCCAGAAAGACTGTCAACATTCCAACGATGTTGATATATTACTTCTCCCTTTTTTCTAGTCACTTGGCAAGAAAAAGTTAGGTGACTTACATTACTATAGAAATTGCCATACCAGTATTTCCAAAAACAGTGCTCATACTTCAACGTGGGCCTCGGTAATTTAATAGCTCATCCTGTTTCCAAAATGGCCTGTTTTTTGTTTTTTGTTGTTGTTGTTTTGTTTTGTTTCTTAGCTATCTTTGTAAAAGAATTGAAATGCAAATATACTCTCACCCACATGCCCATTTCACTTGCAGCAGTCCCACTGCCCAGACACAGCCTGTCAGAAGTCAGGGTCTGAGTGCCCACTGCCGAGAGAAAAGCACAGCCCAGCACCCAGCCCACGAGGCCCAGTCCCCACGGTTCGTGAAGAGGAGCTCTCGATCACGTGAGAAACCTGGGATGCACTGCACAGTGACTTGGCTCCCTGAGTGAGCTGTGTTTATTTGCTGTTATCCATGCCACAGTCTCCCGGCAAGGGTGGGGTGGAGTAAGGGTGTTTTAGGCAACACAGGGCTAGTTGGTTGTTTTTGGATGGAAAGTCCTGCCTTTGCTACAGTATGACTTCAGGCAAGCCACTTAACTGTCCTAAAACCTACTTTCCTTATCTGTCACCTAGCTGATGGCCTCAGAGAGATCTTTCAAAAATAGAATAAACATGCTTTTAAAGGGATATAGCACTATTGAAAGAAGGTACCACCATTGGTAGCCAATCCACATGCTGCTATCAAGTACCTTCTTTGTATGAGGCAATATCCTTTCCCTAAGGTGGTTCAGTTGGAAAGGGGAAATAAAACTCACAAAATAATAATACAGGATAATTACAGGACAAGTTCCACAATTCATGATTGATTGCTATATATAAGAAGTCTAGATTTCCTATGACTAGACTATGACTGTGGGCTTGAGAAGCTATGTGGGAAGGGCCTGCACCTGGATAGGCAGATTGGGATGAGCAGGTAGGATATGGAAGAGAACATGTGCAAAGGCACAGAGGTGGGAAAAGCACGACCAGAAGTCCAATTTGGCTACGGAAAAGTTGGGAATGGACCACAGTCAGCCCTTCGCATCCACGGGCCACACGTCCACAGGTTCAACCAACCACAGATAGAGAATATTTGAAACAACAACAACAATAAAAAGAATACAAATAAAAATCACAGCCCGACAACCATTTACAAAGCGTTCACATTGTAGGTATTATAAGTAGTCTAGAGATGGTTTAACATGTGCAGGAAGATGTGTGTAGGTGAAATGCCGATTCTATGGCATTTTATATCAGACACTTGGGCATCTGTGTTGGTATCCGAGGGAGGCCCTGAAACCAATCCCCCCAGATACCAAGAGGTGACTGTAACAGGCAGCAGGGCCCACTGAAATGAAGTGCCTTCCAGGTACACTGCCCCTGCTGACAAGCCAGCCATGCCCACACCTCCTTCTGATCCATCTTTGTGCCACACGGCCCCACAGTCCCACCACCCTTGTTATTTATGGCTGATTGCCGCAGACTTGGGTAACAAAGGAAACCACACGTAGCCTGTCACCGGGTAGCTGCTGCCTACGCAGGAAAGCCCTGGGCCACAGGACAGTGACTCACTGAGCCAATCGTATCTTCTCCCTGAGTGGGTGACATAGGAAAGTGCCCTGGCAACAGACACACACAGGGAGGGCAGCAAGTGGAAGCCTGGAGGTTGCTGAAGCCATGATCTAGAAGGAGCCTAGAGGGAGTAAGTGGGGAGAAAATTCTTTCCCTAACAGCGGACACAACACAGCTGCGTCTCCAGAATGGTGGAGCCCAGGGGGCGGAGCTCATGACGCCAGCGGCTGAGGGGTCACTTGGGACTCCCAGCTCCTGACTGGCTCTCTGGGAGGCTTTGAGCAGTGTCTTGTTTCCTGGCTTCTTTCTTGTCTGTACACTCTTCCCTTAAGCTCCTTTGCTAACGAGAGCAAGGGCTCTCAATCCTAGCTATTATCAGACTCACCTGGGGAACTCTGAACACAGATTCTCAGCCTCATCCCAGAGCTTCTGAATCAGAATTCCTAGGGCTGGGGCCGGGAAGGTGTTTCTGGTTTTTGGGGGTTTTTAACTCCACGGCTGATTTCAATGCTCTACCACCATCGAGAACTGAATTAAGGCAACCTGAACATACATTTCTGCTTCCTACAACCTGAGACAGTTTAATGCTCATGGAGCCAACTGTGAAGCTCAATGATTAAAAGAAAATGCTTACTTTTTTTCCTTATCGTTTTAAAACACATATACAAAATTATATTTACCTGGAAAAACCAAATTTCACATCGACCTAGCACACCCAATTCTTTCAAACAACTCCTGAGTTCCAGTTCCTGCTTAGTGGCATAGTGTTACAACACTTAAGTTTCCAGAGCACGTCAGCCACCTTCTGACGACTTGCTATGTGGCCGGCACTGTGTTTAGGCTCTTTGTACACATCTGCTCATGTATCACCCTGCAAGCTGGACATTAATTATCCTCATCTTGGAGATGATAACATATCATTTCGGAGCGGCTGAGAATCTGTGTTTTTAAAAGTTCCACAAGTGAGTCTGCTATGCAGCTAGGATTGGGAGCCTCTGCTCTGGTTGGTGAAGGAGTGTAAAGGAAAGGTGTCTAAGCTTTCTCAGGTTGTGGAGAAGTTGAACTCAAACTTTAAAAACTCAGCACCTATGGCTTCTGAGTGACCTTGAGCCTTTCCACATGGCCTCCCGGATCCAGTATGGTGGCTGGGCAGTGATGGGTACATCTCCTCTATTTGGGAAAAAGGATTATTAAAAACACTCATTTACTGACCCAAATCATTGTTTTTAGAATTAACCCAGGATGAAAAAAAAGTATTCTAAAATTATAAAAAATTTTTAAATGTAAAAAATGATCCTGGCCAGGCAAGGTGGTTCCCACCAGTAATCCCAGCACTTCGGGAGGCTGAGGTGGGAGCATCGCTTGAGCCCAGGAGTTTGACACCAGCCTGGGTAACATAGTAAGACCTCATCTCTACAAAAAAAAAATTTTTTTAAATTATCTGGGCATGGTGGTATGTGTCTGTAGTCCCAGCTACTTGAGAGGCAGACGCAGGAGGATCACTCGAGCCCAGGAGTTTAGGGCTGCAGAGAGCAGTGATCGCGCCACTGCATTCCATCCTGGGTGACAGAGCAACAAGCAAAGAAACAATCTTCTTTCCTTTGATTTGTATCAGTGATTTCCTGCCTTTCAAGGATATAAACCCCATTGTAATGCCAAATAGTCTCACAGGCCCTCACCCACATGACAATTAACGTAGCTAATTAAAACGTACAGCTTCATTTAAAAGCACGACTTAATTGAGTAGCTTTTAGCCATTTTTAGCCCTATTTTCTCAACTACAACAGTGTCTATATGCTTTTGAACAAGAGAAATACATTTATGCTGAGGTCTTATATTTATGCACTTTAGAGAAAATGCAAAAAAAAAAAAGCCACAGAAGAAATCATGATTGTATCTAATGAGTTGAAAGTCCTTCTGTCCCCATCGTAAATAGCATTCAGCCTCTTCAGATAGTTCCAAATTATAGTAATCTTTAACATACTCTTGTTGCTTATAGAAATATAGTCACCCAAATGCATACTACTATTTATCTGAACAGGTCACAGAAAAAAACTATCTCACACTCTGATAAAACTCACAGACTCACCATAGTCAAGAGCCTTACCTAAAAATGATGAGAGCAGGAGTAAGAGTGTGTTGGTGTCTTCATTTCCAAAACATGACGAAGCATTAGTGATGTTTTCACTGAAGTTCCATAAAGTTTTACAAACCAAGCAGGCCAGCTGCCAATCAGTAGGACCAAAATCTCTTAAACAATCCACTAACCTAGTAAAGTTCAAATTGAGAAGTTATTAGGTCAGAATCTGTCTTTAATATTGTTAGCATGATTATTCTTCTGTGATACGTAAGTATAATCCAGAGATCACTTAAAATAATTCCTTATTTATAAAATTAAGTGGTTACAAAGTAGCAATAATCTACTTCTGCACCTTTTTTTTTTTTTTTTTTTGAGACAGAGTCTCACTCTGTTGTCCAGGCTGAAGTGCAGTGGTATGATCTCGGCTCACTGCAACCTCCACTCACTGCAACCTCCGCCTCCCGGATTCAAGCAATTCTCCTGCCTCAGCCTCCCAAGTAGCTGGGATTACAGGCATGCGCTACCACGCCCAGCTAGTTTTTGTCTTTTTAGTAGAGACGGGATTTCACCATGTTGGCCAGGCTGCTCTCGAACTCCCAGCCTCAAGTGATTCACCCACCTCGGCCTCCCAAAATGCTGGGATTACAGGCGTGAGCCACCATGCCCGGCCTATTTCTGCACCATTTTAAGTAGCCAGTGGAATCTAAACTCCCTCTTCAGCCTCAGCTTAGGGGCTTCCCAATGTTGAAATCCCTTTGCCCCACAGGAATGATGAGAGGACCCAAGCTCCCGAGAACACGATGTCCTTCAGATCCCGAGTCAGTACCCTACACCTGGAAACTTACTTCTTAATGCCACCTCCTTCTTTCAGGATGACACGCTTGTCTTTATCCACAGTGAGATTGAGGAGAACACCACAGGCAGAAAAGCAGATATCCTGATGCTGAGCATCCAGCAGCGCCATCATGAACCTGTGGACTACGAGGGAAGAGCGCAAATGCAGCCCAGTAAAAGCCCAGGGTTCCCAGCTGTCTCTTGTTTTACAGATGGTACAGGGGAAATGGGGAGTGGTTTGCAAACCCAGAATCCCTGTTAAGGGACTTAACTCATTCTTCCTAAGGCTTTATCCATCACCCGGCAGTGGGTTCCCCAATACCCACCACTCCCAGAGCCGGCTCCCCCAATCCCCAGATACTGCAACACCTGACCCAGGCAGCAGCTGCCTCTCCACGGCAGTGAAAGAGTCCCTGCTGGTGGACACGAGGGAGCACAGGTGACACTCATCTAACTGCCAGTTGTTCTCAAGGGTTTTCCTGAACCTCCAGCAGCAACTGTCTTTAAATACACAGTCCTGGAGCGGGGAGCTGGCTCCCGGTGGGATCATTCCTGAAGTCTCCCAGGGCCACGTGTAAGACTCAGACTGCTGAAAACCAACCTGTGGCAAGGCAGGCCTTCCAGTGTGGGGACATCGCAGGGCAGCACAGGCTCCCGCCTCTGGGGAACCAGCTTCCCTTACTCCTAGGAAATGCAACTGGGAACCGATTGTCCTGTTTTCTCATCCCTCAGCAGATGCTGAGCAAAGGGTTGGGGAAGAGTGAGTGAAGTGTGCATCCTGCCTCCTCCCATGGGGCATGCACCTGAGAGGGGCTGCCCTGTTCTAGCCCCGGCCCTGTCGACTGGGTTGGGCAGTGAGCTTGGCAGAGGCAACATCACATACATATGTGCTCTTAAGAGGCTAAAGAGTGCCCAGCAAAATGTGCAGTTATCTGTAGGTAGTGAGAGCTGGAGCATGGTTTGCTGCTGCTGCTTTTTATATCTGTATTATTGAAATTTTCCATTACGAACATGGAAGTTATATTTTTAAAATTATTATTGTTACATGAAATATTTGAGACATACAAAGAGTCAAAGTATACTAATATTTGAGACATACAAAAATATTTGAGACATACAAAGGGTATAAACATGTGGGTACTTGCCACTCAGTTTAAGAAATAAAACATTACATTCCAAACAGCATGTGCATAATAAATATAAACAATTCTTATTTGTTGATAATAAATAACACTATAGGTCTAATGATAATCTTTGGACATCCCTTTCCTTCCAAAGGTGAATGCGGTCTTTTTTAAATTTTTAATCTTTATCTTTCAGAGGTAGGTTCTCACTCTGTCTCCGAGCCTGGAGGACAGTGGCACAATCATGGCTCACTGCAGCCTCGAACTTCTGGGCTCAGCTGATCCTCCTGCCTCAGCCTCCCAAGTAGCTGGGACTACAGGCATGTGCCTGTCTGGCTAATTTTTAATTTTTGTAGAGACAGTGTCTCACTATGTTACCCAGGTTTATCTCAAACTCGTGCCCTCAAGCAATCCTCCCACCTTAGCCTCCCAAGGTGCTGGTATTATAGGGTTGAACCACTGGACCCAGCCTGAACCCTGTCTTAAATTGGAGTTTACTATTTCCAATTACTATTTATACTGTATAGCATCACTACATGAATACCTATGCAGAAGCAATACCCAAGATAGTTTTGTATGTTTTAAAACTTATATTCATGGCATTCCTCTGTATATATCCTCCTATTGCTTTTGAATGCTAGAGAACATTTTATTGCGTGAATATACCATAATGAATTTGTCCTCTTGTCTGTTGAGGGACATTTAGGTTGTTTCTACTTTTTGCTATTATAAGCAAAATGTAATAGATATTCTAGTACATAAAAGAGAATGTCTTCTTGAGAATATGCCCCCAGACAGAAGTGATGACTCAAGATTCACTGTTTCTGTTAGACATACACACACCCCATCTTGGTGCACAGAAGGCCATTCACAAGGGAGAGGGGAACACTGCCTAGGTCCATCTTGGCATCCTGAGCCAGGAGCCTTAAACACAGAGCTCTACAAATCTCAAAGCAGAAACAAGTACAACACTGTAATGACTCAAGCTCCAAAACCACTCCGCTGATTATTGGCAAGAAGTGAATGTTTATGAATTCTAGTGTCATTAACTCACCATTGTTCTGCACAATGAAATCGCAGACATCACGGTCCTGGGAGAGATTTCCGAAAACACGCACAGCCTCCAGGATTCCATCCATGTTGTTACTGACAAGAAGCTTTAAGAGCACTGGATTTGGCGACCAGAGAAATTAAATCAGTGAATTTAAGTTTTAACTTAAAGGTTAATGGAAATCAACATCATACTAAATACTGATAATTTTAAAATGATAATAAAATACAAACTGTAAGGGACTTTAGCAAGAACTAAGAAACTAATTTTTCCCATTTCTAGTTTCCCCATATTCTAATTTCTTAGAATCATCAGGTTCTAAGTAAGACATTTTTGTACCAGAAGGCAGAAGATAGTAATGTCTCCAGCTCTGTGTTTAGTTAATAAAATCGAAACCTCAAATGAGCACTCATTTATCCACATCCGACTCTGAACCTTACATTCAGCAATATATAGCTTTTTGTCTTGAATTATGGAATTCTTCACTTGGTAGTAAGATAAATTGTTGATTGTCGCTGTAGCATTGATCACCAGCTCCTCACAATCATCAAGTGACTTGTATTCTGAAATGAAGTGAGGATAAGGGAGTCAAAGACCCATTGCAGGAGTAGAACCAAGCACGTTGTAACTACAGCAACAGCAGGGCCAGGAGCAGGCTGCTGTCATGGCAGGGTCCCTACAAAGGCCCTGGAGAGGCAGCTTTACCACTTGATTTCCCCCGACTCCTCCTGCACGGAAATGCCCCAAATACAAGGGCCAGCTCCTGGCCAGAGCGGAGAGGATACTGTCAACTCAATCCTTGCAGCCAGGAGGTTTGGAAAAGCCCGGCTGATCTGGGCTCTGTGTCTGAAGTAAAGCAAAGGGGCCAACATGGCAGTGAGCGGAGCCATCTCTATTCCCGCCTGTTTTCTGGGTTCTCAGGCTCTCCCAGGGGCTCCTCCCTGGAGTCTTTGCCCTACTTCGCACACCGCCTCCTAACAGAATGGCCCTGGGGTCATGATCTGTCCGTGACTATGAACTCTAGAAGACACCTCTGGCCTCCTCTACCACCCCTGATTCATCTCTCAGCACTTGCTGGCTTCCCTTCTTCCACTTTTGCCTCCCTAAATCTATTCTCAACACAGTTATCCTTTAAAAGCAAGTCAGTTAATGCCACCCACCTCATAACCCATGAATAGTCCACGTTGTCTGGTCCACAAGACCTACCTGGCAGCTCCAGGCCTTACCTCTCTGGCCTCATTTGCTCCTCCTACTCCCAGACCACCAGGGTCAACCACAGCAGCCTCCTGGCCTCCTGGAATATGCCAGCATGCCCCTGCCTGATAACCCGTGCACTGCTGAACTTTCTTCTGGAACATACTCTCCTCCCAGTTAGCCACTTGGCTCACTCCTTACGTCCTCCAAGCAGTCGCTTAGAGGCCGCCTTGTTGGACATACTTTCCGTAACCTCCCTATTTAAAATAGTACCTGTTCTCTTTTCTCTTACCCTGCTTTAATTTTCTCCATAGCACATATGACCACCTGATGTTATATATGTGTTTAATGTTTGTCTTTCAGCCCTAAAATGTCAGCTCCCTGAGGCCTAGGGATGTATCTGTTTTATTCATGGCTGCATTCCCAGCTTCTAGAACAGTGCCTGGCACATAGTGAGTGCTGGATGCAAGAATAATTGATCCTCTAGCTTAGCACATAAGGCCCTTAGGGGTTTTTGTCTCTGCCTCCCACTCAGTGTCCAGACTCATCTGTTGACGTTTCTGGCCACAGTGTCGGGAAGAGCAGATGCAGGGCTGCAGCTGGGAGTGGTCCCAGTGGCATCAACATAGCACGGACATGGGCAATGGCAGAGATGTGGCAGAGTGGAGACTGTGCTTGGCAGAGACTGGACGGGGTGTGAGGGAGAGGAATCACCTGGGTGCACATAACTGGGTAGATGCCTGAATTAAGGGCACAGGAGGAGGGCCGAGTTCAGGGACAGGTCATGAGCTCAGCTTCAGATATGCTTCTGAAGCACCCCCAGGAGAGGAGGGGTAGGCAGTTGGATATGAGTTGGGCAACCAGACTGGCTGAGCAACACTGCAAAACCCCGTCTTTACAAAAAATACAAAAAATTAGCCGGGCGTGGTAGCACGCGCTTGTAATCCCAGCACTTTGGGAGGCCGAGGTGGGCGGATCACTTGAGGTCAGGAGTATGAGACCAGCCTGGCCACATGGTGAAACGCCGTCTCCACTAAAAAGACAACAGTTAGCCCGGCGTGATGGCACAAGCCTGTAATCCCAGCTACCTGGGAGGCTGAGGCAGAAGAACTGCTTGAACCTGGGAGGCAGAGGTTGCAGTGAGCCAAGACTGCACCACTGCACTGCAGGCTGAGTGACAGAGGGAGGCCCCATCTCCTGTATGAAACCGAAGTTTTTCCTCGGGGAGCAAGCGGGGCGGCTAGGAGCTAAGGAAGAGGACTGTGCTTTTTCTTAAATTCTCTGACTTAAGTACCGCCCCCTTTGGCCATCTTTTCCTGTTCAGTGAAGAGAACGGCCTTTTTATAAATTACGATGTTGAAAGGAGCGCTCAGTCATTGGTAGGCTGCAGAAGGCGCAGACTGTTCCTTCCGCCAGTGCCCTCCCGCTAGAGCAGCCAGCACAGGCCCAGTACCTGGTAGACGCTTACTGGATACTCGGAAAAAGAATAAAGAAAGACCTGACTTCCTGTGTTTTAGTTTAAGTACATAAAAAGGGAATAAGGAGCTGAATTATTTGGGTTATCAATATGGATTCTACTGTAAGGAAACATCCTAGTTATGGTAAAAGAAGGGACAGAGGACCTCCAAAATTCTTCCCTCTTGCTTTGGCCATGACTCTGAAGCCAGAACCCTGTGCTTCCACTCACTGGCCGTGTGACCTTACTCAAGTTATTTAACCTCCCTGAGCCTCAGTTTCCTTGACTGTAAAGTGAGCATGATCATTGCACCTAGAGTTGTTACAAAGTTTAAATGCATTCAAGGGTTTAAATGAATGCGTGGCACATAGTGGGTGCTAAGTGAGTGCTTATTAAATGAACAGATGGGCCATCCAGAATGACTGCTCATGGGGGGCGGCTCAGGTGAATGTCTACCTCTTGAGCAAAGGGTCTACAGCCCTGGTTTCCTCCAGCCCCTGACTGATGACACTAGGCCTTGGGCAGTGTTTGGGGATCTGTTTTATTTCTCTTGCCTTGGTAGGAGAATTCGTTAGCTTGTCCAGAACATGCAGGGTAGCTCTTAGGTGTCTAACCTCCCAAAGGACCACACGTTTGATTAGCAGGAGTGGTGTCCGGTACCTGGAACTAGAGGGTAGGTCCTCACAGCTGCTAAGCATTTATCATGAACAGCACCAGGCACTTTACATGCATGTAACCCCCAAAAGTCAGCTACTAATAAGTTTTACATGCGCTTACAAGAATTCACACCCACAATAATTCATTCTCGAAAGGTGCATCTGTCTCAGTTACCTTGGCCTGTCATAATAAAATACCATAAACTGGGTGGCTTGAGCCAACAGAAATTTATTTTCTCACAGTTACGGAGGCTGGAAGTCCAAGATCAGGGAGCCTGCGCGGTCAGGCTCTGGTGTCTCTTCTTATAAGGGCCCTAACTCCAGCATGAGGGCCCCACATCATGGCCTTATCTAAACCTAATTATCTCCCAAAGGCCCCATCTCCAAATACCATCACATGGGGGTTAGGACTTCAAAGATGAATTTAGGGGTCAGATGAGAACACTGAGGTTTAGAGAAGTTCAATACCTCGCCTGACTTCACAGAGCACACATCTGAATCCAGGTCTATTTGACCCTACTATCCTACTCTTTCCACAGAACCCTGCTGAAGTCAAGGACCCAGTGTTGCTGAGTTCCCATTGGAGCTAGTTGGGGCAATAGACTGCTTCCAAAAAAGCATGACAGAACCATCCTACCCTCTATAATTGACTCACGGATACAAGAAAATCTGGAATTTGGACTTGCCACTAAGTCAGCAAATCTCTGAGTCTGGGGACATACTGAGAGGGTCAGTTCTTACTAGAAACATGATTGATTTTTAAAAGACCCTCTGCAATGAGGCTGACCTCTCTAGGCAAGTCCTGGGGTACAAGCAACTCCCTGTGAAGGGTGCAGGGCTAGAGGGAGGTAGGAAGAAAAAAACCCAAGGGATGCCCTTCCCACGTGAATAGGCGAGGGGGCCATGCCACAAGAGCCATCAGGCTGGGAGGAGTGCTCAGCTCTGAGAGTAAACAGGACAGCAGCAACTCTGACTTCAGTCAGCACAACCAAGCCCTGGGTAGGCCCTTTCGATAGTCACAGTCACAGCCCAGCACTGGCCCTGCGTTGCTCTAAGCTGCCAGGCCTGTCGGAGGGGGCAGGAGGCCGTTCCTGGAATGTGATCACCACTCCACACAGATGCAGATAAAACAGGTAGGAAATCCCCAGAGACCAGTGTAGAAAGGGCTTAGCAGGGCTCAGAAACTCACCCAGGAGTCGAGTCATGTAAGGGGAAGGTAGAAGGGGGTGACCCCCTGTCAGGGGTGACTTTTGCTCTTCTATAAACTTTTATTTGGAGATAAAATCTTTCAGGAGAGAATAGAGAAGGGATCACCTGCTTGTCCAAACAACTGCCTAAGGCATAGGAGGCAAGAGGCCTGAGCCATCACGGGAGAGCAGGGTTTCTTCACTTCTGCTCAACCTCATATGGTACCAGGCTCTAATACAGAGACTAAAACATTTCTCACAGGGAGGCCCTTGACCACCTGTATCGGGAGCAGCCAGGGAGCTTTAGAGAGAGTCTCACTCTGTCGTCCATGCTGGAGTGCAGCAGTATGATCTTGGCTCACTACAACCTCCACCTCCTGGGTTCAAAAGATCTTCCTGCCTCAGCCTCCTGAGTAGCTAGGACTATAGGCGCCCACCACCATGCTTGGTTAATTTTTGTATTTTTAGTAGAGACGGGGTTTTGCCATGTTGGCCAGGCTGGTCTTGAACTCCTGGCCTCAAGTGATCCACTCGCCTCGGCCTCCCAAAGTGCTGGGATTACAGGCATGAGCCACCGCTACCAGCCTTTTTTTTTTTTTTAGACGGAATTCTCGCACTGTCGCCTGGGCTGGAGTGCAGTGGCACAATCTCAGCTCATTGCAATCTCTGCCTCCCAGGTTCAAGCGATTCTCCTTGCCTCAGCCTCCCAAGTAGCTGGGATTACACAGGCACCTGCCACCACGCCTGGTTAATTTTTTTGTATTTTTAGTAGAGACGGGGTTTCACTATGTTGGCAAGGCTGATCTCGAACTCCTGACCTCATGATAACACCTGCCTTGGCCTCCCAAAGTGCTGGGATGACAGGTGTGAGCCACCACGCCTGGACCTTTTTTTTTTTGAGAAAGGGTCTCACTCTGTTGCCCAGGCTGGAGTGCAGCAGTGCGATCATGGCTCACTGCAGCCTTGACTTCCGGGGCTCAGGTAATTCTCCCACCTCAGCCTCCTGAGCAGCTGAGATCACAGGCGTGTGCCACCACACTCAGCTAATTTTTTTTTTTTTTTTAAACAGAGACAGGGTTTTGCCATGTTGCCCAGTCTGGTCTAGAACCCCTGGCCTCAAGCAATCTGCCTGCCTTGGCTTCCCAAAGTGCTGGGATTATAGGCGTAAGCCACCATGCCCAGCCTCTTCCCTCTTTCTCCTACCCCAAAGCATCACTTTCTTTTGAGTCAAAAGCAAGTTATTCACTCTTCCTTTATAGGTAGAAATGTAATTTCTAAGCTCATAAAATATTTATAAGATGAGGAGTTTTTTCACTTTATATGTGAATATTAACAATTGTGGGATCATGAATCATGCATAACTCTACTCCTTGGCTGTTCACAGCCATGCGCCCCCAGTCCAGGTGTTCGAGGTCTGGTCCTCAGGCCCTTCCTGGGCAGCCACAGTCAGGCAAAAGCATTAATTCAGCAACAGATGAGAACTTGCCCAGTGGGTTTCAGGCTTCTGCTAGATTCTGAGGAGCCAGAAAAGCCAGCGTGGTTCCCTGAAGCACTGGGTCTCAACACTTAATGGACAAAAGACTCACCTGGGGGCAGAGGAGGCATTAAAAGGCAGATTTCAAGACTCTAATGACATTTTATAGAGGCAGTTTCTGGGCAAGGGCCAGAAACCAAAAAGGGTATTTTAACGAGTCCCACAGCTGATTCTGCAGCAGTCACATCCCTGGTCCTGGGCTGAGAAGCCCTGCTCAGTGTGGTGAGTGGATCTCAGGAAGGGGAGAGGAGCTTCAGCAGACACGGGCATGCTACAGAGCAAATGCTGAACATTTTGAGGTTGGAACAGAAACTGAATTTCTCTCACTGTTATGTGCATATTCTTCCATGCGGCTTAATGTGCAGTCAGCAGCTTGGAAAAGAGTTCAAGCTGAAACACAGAGATTGCTGAGTTATCTACACGGAAGTGGTAAGTCATGGTGCAGATCCCAGTCAGAATTGAAGAGTCCTTTCTCTAGACGGGTGACATGTGATGTGGGGTGCGGGGAAGCACAGGTCAGGGGCCCAGCGACTTTGCCACTTGCTCACTTTGTGACCTGTGAAAGTCACTATATCTCGCGGAGCCTGTTTCCTCATCTGTGAAATGATGAAAATAACAAAAACGTGCCCTGACATTGTTGTGAGCTAACAGATATGAAAATGCGTTTTCAACCGTAAAGCTCCATAGTGAAGCACGGCCTTGTCACTCACACGCCCACAGCCGGGCTCTGCCACCCGTCCCTTAGCTGTGTGCGCCTCGCTTCTGCCCTTCTCAGAAACTGTGGTTCTTGTCTGTGCACCCGATGTCCCTCTACCATATACACTGAGTTCCTTGAAAGCACATGCCAGCCTCCATTTTTAAAACCTTGTTCTAAACTGAATGTTGGTGTCCCCCAGAATGCACATGTAGAAGCCCTATCCCCTCAATGTGACTGTATTTGGAGCTAGGTCGTGTGGGGAAGTGATAAAGGTTAAACGAGGTCAGAAGAGTGGGGCCCTTATCCAGTAGAGCTGGTACCCTTACAAGAAGTAGAAGGGACCCCAGAGTGTGCTCTCTTTAGCACATGAGGACCCAGTGAGAGGGCAATCAACCACAGGCCAGGAACGGGAGCCCACACCAGACCCTGGCCCTGCTGGCATCTTGGTCTCGGACTTCCAGTTTCCAGAACTGTGAGAAAATACATGTCTGTTGAAGCTCCCCAGTTTATGAGATTTTGTTATGGCAGTCTGAGCAGAATAAACAAAACTGAATGCATAGCACAGAACTCATTACCCAGAAAGAGCTCAGGAAATGGCTCTTGAGTTGAATAGTGGAGGCGAGGGGGAGCAGGGAGTTCACAGTTTGCTCCTCCAAAACATCATTTGTGTCAGGCATTAAGCTTCCTTCCAAAACAACAACATTTTTCACAAGTATGGTTAGTAGTAGTTAATTTTCTTTTTTTTGGAGACAGAGTCTCACTGTGTCACCTAGGCTGGAGTGCAGTGGCACGATCTCAGCCCACTGCGGCCTCTGCCTCCTGATTTCAAACGATTCTTCTGCCTCAGCCTCCTGAGTAGCTGGGATTATACGTGCACACCACCATGCCCAGCTAATTTTTGTATTCTAGTAGAGAAGGGGGTTTCACCATGTTGGCCAGGCTGGTCTCAAACTCCTGACCTTGTGATCCACCCACCTCAGCCTCTCAAAGTGCTGGGATTACAGGCCTGAGCCAGCAGGCCCAGCTAGTAGTGGCAAAATTGATTACCTTGGGTTGCAGTTAATTTCCCTACATACTAGCAGGGAGATGACAGGCCTAAAAAGTGTAGGGGTTGCCATGGACTGAATTGTGTGCCCAACAAAATTCATATGTTGAAGCCCTACTCCCAATATGCTTGTATTTGGAGATAGGGCTTTGAAGAGATATAGCAGGTTACAGAGCCCATAAGGGTACGGTCCTAATATGATAGGATTGGTGACTTTATAAAAAGAGGAAGGGGAGAGAAAGTCTGTCGCCTACTCCACAAGTGCTTGCACCAAGGAGCCATGTGAGCACACAGTGAGTAGGTGGCTGTCTGCAGGCCAGGACGAAGAGCCCTCACCAGGAGCTGAACTGTCTGGCACCTTACTCTTGAATTTCTCTGCCTCCAGAAGCACGAGAAATAAATTTCTGACAAAGTTGTCCAATCTGTGGTATTTTGTGATGGCAATCTGCACTAATACAAGGGGAATTAATAGGACTTGAATGACTGGGGACTGTAATTACAAATAATGTAAGAACCCGAAGAGGAAAAAAGAAGGAATTAATTTTAATTACGTGGATTGCCCACAATATTTGGGATGTGGGATTTTAAACTCAAATATTTGGAATTTTAAACTCTTTGTGGTTAGTTTAGCCAAGTTTTCTCCAGTTGCTAAGTATAATTTTTTAAAAATTGCAATGTCATTCACAAACCATAAAATTCACCCTTTGAAAGTGTACAATTTGGTGGGTTTTAGTAATAATCTCTATTACTATGTTTTCTTTTCCTTTTCTAAAAATCTGGATTACTTTTAAGACAGTTCTGAACAGAAGAGGGAATTTCCTTCATACAGCTAAGACTTTTGCATAGGGAGCCACTTGTGCTAATAAAATCCTTATCACACCTCAGACACAGAACTGTATTTGGGCTGCGGGAAAGCTGGTTGTGCCTGCTGCGGCCAGTGGGCCGCGGTTCTCACCCAGCGTGGTCAGGAGCAGGCCCACTATCCCCGGGTTGGCAGCCAGTACCGGGCCCACGCCCGGGTGGATGGCAATGTTGGCCAGCACGCGGGTCAGCTTGATGAGCACGTCCTCTGCCTCTGACGGCGGCCTCTGCGCCCTGTGCTGCTCGCCTCGTTGGCCCGCCGGCTTCTGGGAATGCAGATCCAGCTGATGGAACGTCTGGAATAATGACAGCAGAGTTTGGATGCTCCCTTTCTCTTTGGAAAATTGTTCACGAGCCTGGTTATTTTTCGCCGTCAGGTTGCCAAGAATAAAAACAACACGGACGACTAAATCCTGCAATAAACAAAAGACAGAGTCACAAGTGCAAAGGGGGCTGGAACGCATTGTGGGGCAGAAGACAGTATTTAATTTATTCACAATTGCATTAATAGTAAAATGGAACACACCTGGCTTCGACTCACTTGTACAGTATTTGATTCCCAAGAGCAGTGCAAAGTGAGAGAGGAGATTATAAGCACCTGGCAGCAATGAAAGAATACAAACTGATCGATGCGACCAGCATCGCCTCTTACCTTCAGATCCTTCATCTGAAATTCTGGCTCGCCTTTCTTTTTCTCCTTCAGAGAACAATTAGTTGAGTGGGACAGCATTACTAAAAATGTGTCATGGAAATCTAAGTTTTGACAATAGCCGGTTTCTTGAAATTCCAAATCTTTCCTTAAAATTTCATCTCCTGCTGAAGCATGGTGTTTTTGAGTTTGGGCAGGATTGACACTTGGGACTGGATAATTCTTTGTTGTGGGGAGGTGTCCTGTGCATTGTAGAGCATTTAGCAGCATCCCTGGCCTCCACCCACTAGATGACAATACCTCTCCAGACGTGACAGCCAAAACTGCCCCTCCACAGCGTGGAGAAGTGCCGCGTTACGTAGCTACACTACTTTAAGGCAGTATCTACCAATTCTTGCCCAGGGTGGTGGTTACATGAGTGACACCTTTATAATTACTTGCTGAATTGTGCATACCTGTTTTATGCACTTTTCTGTATATAGGTTATATTTTACAATTTTAAAATGTTTTTACAAACCCTAAGCTGAGAACATTTTAAAATTAATCAAGATACAAAAATCACTGTGCTTTTAGTTTGACAACAATGTCCAGATATGAGTCCAGACCAGCCTTCCCCATGGGTGTCAACGAAGGTGACCTGGGAGGAGGAGATTTTAAATGAATACTCATTGGAGGGCTACAACTGGCCTGGATGGTATTATATCTATATCTATATATCCAGTGCCAGGCACTGTGCCATTTTATAGTCAAGAAACTAGGGCCTGGAGAAGCCGCCCAGGTCACATGGCTGGTGAGGGGTAAGGTCAGGATTTGATTCTAGGGTTACCCAGACTCTAGAGTCCTTTCTACACTAACATCTGCCTCCCATACAGGGTGTCATGTACTTTTTCTCCTCCTTTGCCTTCTTGCAGAACAGTTAAAGAATTATCTCCTTTCAAAATGCAAATATGTCACCAGAAGGGACGATCATAAACCTGACTTTGTTGATCGGGTCAGTAATTAGCAGCAGCCTTAAGAAAAAGGGACAAAGGGGCAAGGGCACATTTTCATCGAGGAGCACATGTCCAGGTGCGATGCCAGGGTGTCGGGTGTGGCCAGGAAATTGGGGAAGATTGGGGGCAAAGTACAACTTTTGGATTTACCTAGGCCTTCTCTGCCAATACCAACTTGTTCCTGCTTGTTCTTGCTAAAAGGACCAAAAGTTTTCCCTGACACTCACTGCAGAGAAGCAAGGCTGCTGCTTGTACAACCGGACACCATTTGCCAAACATTAAGGACCGCGGCTAATGCTACAGCAAAAACTAGAGATGGTCCAGGAGAGAGTTCATTTTCGGAGACATTTCAACTCACAGCATTCAACCAACCACAGTGGTCATCCAGTTAGGAGACCCTGCTCCTGACTCCACCCCAGGAAATAGAATGTTAGTCCTCAGGTAAGTTCTTAATGCCAGGGGCCTAGGAATACACACACATAACCAAGTCTGAGAGTCAGTGTTCTGAAGAGCTTCTCACCTACTGAGAAGACAAAGCTAACATACGTGGGGAAACAGCAAAGACTAAAACGGCAAACGAAGAAGCGAGATGCGGAAGCGGATTATGAGTCCCAGGTCCAGAGCCAGGCAGGCTGGGCTCACACAGGTGCTTGGCCTCTCTGTGCATCCATTAACTTATTTGCAAAATGGAGACACAATTCGTACTGTGAGATCACATGAGATACAACAGGCAAAGCACAAATTGTGTTGACCAATGATTAGGGCACTGCTGTGAACTCTTTTTATGTCCTAGCAATAAAATGCTAACTAATAGCAATAAACTCGGTGGTGCAGGCCTAGTAGTCTTACAAGAGTTTCGAAAAGAGGATGCTCCGGGAACAGTGTCAGGTTCAGCAGAGTTATCACGGAAGAATTTGAGTTCAACCTTGGAAGCTGTGAGATGCAGAGAAATGTGGAGGGGAGCATGGGGTTGGGTGGGCAGCATAAAAGTCTTTTTTTTTTTAACTTTTTAGGCTCAGGGGTACATAAGCAGGTTTGTTACATGGGCAATCTTGAGTCATGGGGCTGTGGTATGCAGATTATTTCATCGCCCAGGTACTAAGCTTACTACCCAATAGTTATTTTTCCTGATCCTCTTCCTTCTCCCACCCTCCACCCTCAAGTAGGCCCCAGTGTCTGTTTTTCCCTTCTTTGTGTCCATGAGTTCTTATCATTTAGCTCCCACTTATAAGTGAGAACTTGTGGTATTTGGTTTTCTGTTCTTGCGTTAGTTTGCTAAGGATAATGGCCTCCTGCTCTATCCATGTTTCTGCAAAGGACATGATCTCATTCTTTTTTTATGGCTGCATGGTATTCCATGATGTATATGTACTACATGGTCTTTATCCAATCCACCACTGATAGACATTTACGTTGATTCTGTGTCTTTGCTATTGTGAATAGTGCTACAATGAACACATGTGTGCATGTGTCTTTATGGTAGAACGATTTGTTTATATTCCTTTGGGTATATACCCAATAATGGAATTTTTTTTTGAGACAGAGTGTTGCCCTGTTGCTGGAGTGTAGTGGTGCAATCTCAGCTCACAGCAACCTCCGCATCCTGCGTTCAAGTGATTCTCCTGTCTCAGCCTCCCAAGTAGCTGGGATTACAGGCATGCACCATCAAACTTGGCTAATTTTTGTACTTTTAGTAGAGACGCGGTTTCACCATGTTGGCTAGGCTGGTCTCAAACTCCTAACCTCAAGTGATCCATCCGCCTTGGCCTCCCAAAGTGCTGGAATTAGAGGCGTGAGCCAGTGTGCCCAGCCTGTTTTCAGTTTGAAGAGGATTAGTTTGAGAGAGTATCTGGAACTATCTCCTTCCTGGGCCAGGGGTCATCTTCTCATTCTTTAATTACCTGACTGTTCCCTAAAGAAGCTGACATTTATGGGCCTTAAGTCTAAAACAAGCACACACAATCTGATTATAATACTTGAATCCCACTTCACATGAAATAGAGGGTTACTTCAAGTAACGCCTGGTGGCAAAGGCCCTGCCCTGGGCTCTGATTTGGTGGCTTCTCCTCCACCCTGATCAGACCCAACAGAGAAGCAGAAAATCAGTTTTCCAACCACGACAGAGGGTATTTCCAAGAATTAAGCATCTTAAAGAAGAACTTCATCTGATATTTTCTATGCTGAAGACTATAAATACAATTTTTGTGTAAACTTTGATACATGTTTTCTGCTTAAAGACTATATGAGTTTTAGTTCTGAAAATCCTAATAATTAATACCAATAGCAGCACAGTAGTAGCAGCAACTAACACATAGTACTTATTAGTACTTATGCTGTGCCAGGCATTGTCCTAAGTATTTACATATACAAATTAACTAATTCACTGACAATGATAACTTCCACTTCTTTCATCTGAACAAAGCTATTCACAGTATCTTTTACAATCTAAACCACAGTCTCCCTCGTACACTTGATAACAGTGATGTTAATAAGTTTTGGACTTCACCATGTTCCTGGAATTGGGCTCTCTTCTCTCATTTCCATAAAAGCACGTTAAACAAGACAGGAAATGCATTATGAGTGATTTTAAGTGATTGCTTAAGTAACTTAATTAATAGCTGCATTCTACACCCTAAATTGTTACCAGGACTAAACGATTTACCTCCTGAAATGTCATGGCATCTTCTAAGGGTGCTGAATTGTTGTTGTTGTTTTTCTTCCTAGGCCTTGCCATTTCACCTCCATCTACCTATCTTGCTTTTCTCTTAGTCCAGCTCAGTAGGCTTCTCCAGCCCTGTCCCACCTCCCGCTGTCAGTGTTGATTTGCCAGGATTTAGATCAGATCCCTGGTAAAAACAGATCTCCTCAGTGGGCATCATTCTTCAAAATTCAAATGACCTCTCCCCATTGTCACATGCAGTCTAATCTGCGAAGACTAAGTGCTGCTTTTCTTTTTCTAAAAATTCCCTCAGGCCCCTTACTCTTCTAAAATTCTCCCATTCTCTCATCTCTGTAGGTCCTAATGTGGCCAAGATTATTAAGCCTCCAGTACAGAAGCAGCAGCTCTAGGCTGTAGGGCAGGAAGAGTTAACACTGTTATAATACCGCTTTTCCTGCTTCAGATGGAAAAGGAGGGGGTGGTTCCTGGCAGCCGTGGTGCCAACTGAAGCATGGCATGCGAGATCAACAAATGGGATGGCAGATTGCACCGTCTGCAGCACCAAACTTCCAGCAACTGCTATCTCTGCTGACTGTTTTTGTCCTGTTTTTGAGGGTTGGCTATGGTACTTCTTCTTTTCTTTTTTTCCCCACCTTTCTTAAATATATTCTACATGGATCTAGGGAGCATGGAAGAGGCCAAAATAGAAGCCGACTCACAGGAGGTCAGCAGAGGTAGTGTTTTCTTATCTCCATGCAAGGGCTTGTCTTGACTCGTCTGGAATCCTGAAGGAGGCTGAGCAAGACAGCTTTCCAGGGCCCCTCTCCTCACCATGGGTGGCCTCTGCTCCCAAACTGTGCACTCCAAGGTCCTCCCAACCGAACCAAGGTCTGCGCTGGGCGGGATCATGAAGAGATTATCTACTGTTCCACAGCCCAAGCCATCTCAAGTCTATAAAATATTACTTAATATTCTATAAAGATCTGTAAAAATTAAACCAAGGCCAAAATCATCTATTTAGAGAAAGCACCAATTCCACAGCAGAAACGATTTCATCAATATGCAGCTCTCCTTTGAGCCACAGATTCTCTCCTTTATTCTTAGACAATATCT